AATAAAATAAAATAAAAATTTTAAAAAATATTAAAAAAATATTATTAAAATAAAAAATGATAAAAAAATTTTTAATAAAAAAAGAAAATTAAATTCAATAAACAAATAAATTAAAAATTAATTGAAAAAAAAGACTGAAGAAAGATAATTAATTTTTAATATTTTATTATTACTACATTAAATATAACAGCAGCCATTAAAGTAGAAGAAATAAAATTTATTATTAAAAAATAAATATATGAAGATTGATTAATTTATAATTAACGAGAGCGAAATAAAAAAAATAATCTTATTTGATTGGAAAAGATAAAAAAATTAAAAAAGAAAAATTAAAAGAGAGGCGTCAATTAGAAAAAAAAAAGTAGCAATTAAAAATAAAATAATATTTTTGTAAAAAAATTAAAGCGCCAAAAGTAAAGTGTAAAAATAAATGCAAAGAAACACTCCTGTGTTTTTATTGAGTTTTGTTGCAGGTTTTTTTGCTTTTAATTTAATGAGGAAACAGAAAAAACAAAGTTTTAGTAAAACTTAAATTGTAAACTTAAAAACATTTAAATAAACTTGAAAAGGGAATATTATCAAGTTTGCGTTTTTACAAACTTGAAATATTTGTTTAAAAACAAAGTTTTATTTTTTTACAAACTAAACATTAAATAAACTTGGAAAATAAGAAAATATCAAGTTTGTAAAGTTTACAAACTTAAAAAAGGACAAAAGTGTCAAAACTTAAGTTTAAACTTAAGTTATATTACACTTAAGTTTTACACTTGAAATATTTCAGAGCAAAACATTAACCTCGCAAAAATTTTTTTGAAATATTTTTTCGAGGTTAACAAGGCGAAATAAAAATATAATTTGAGAATAGGGGGTTTTCAATATTGTTGTTATCAACCCTTTAAAGAGCTATCAATTTTTGCTAAAACTGCAAAACATATAAAATTTAGAACTAGAAAAACATGTGAAATTTTCATGAAAATAAATAAATATTAAAAAAAATTTTTAGCGACAAAATAAATAGAGAAAACTAGCAAATAATAAAAAGAAAAAAAGAAACACCACCACATTTGTTTTGTGTAAAGAAACGGAAAAAACAAGACGACGACGCAAACACACACACAAACATTTTAGATATAATAAAAATGTTTTTAGATAAAAAAATTATTTGAGTGAAAAAAAAGAAAATAAAAATATTGAAAGAAAGGAAGGCCTTTTATTTTTAAAAAGAAAAAAGATTAATTTTTAATTATTTTCCCCCCTTCCTTCCCCAAAAATTGATCATCCGCGCATTCAAAAATAAAAAAATAAAAAGTTAATGGTCCAATAAAAAAAAATAAAAAATATCAAAGAGATAAGAATCTTTGAAATAATGGGAAAAAAATATTCAACAAAAAAAACTTTAATAATCTTAATCCGATTAAATAACTGTTAATCTCCAATAACGAATATTAAATGTTTGTATGTTTATAATTAAAATAATAAACTTCAATTTTTTAAATAAACTTCAATTAATATCAAAAACATTTTGTTTTTCAAGTTAGAGTTGTTTTGTTTCAAGTATGCAAACTTGAAAACTTGAATGTTTTGTAAAACTTGTCTAAAGTTTATTTAAGTTGCTAAACTTGAACATTTTTTAAAATTAAATATTTGTAAAATCTTACAAACTTGCGCGTTTTTAAGTTTATTTAATTTAAATTTGTATGTTTCAGTTTGTATATTTTTACAAACTTGAAAGTTAGACCAACTTGTTTTAAAGAGAAAAATGTTCTGAATATTTACCTAATAAAAAAGGAAAAAGGAAGGGAACTAAAAAGCACCTACATACAGGGTGCGTAAAAAGTTCCCGGAATTTTCAAAATTTCAATTATTGGGGTGAAACATTGATTATTACAACAAAATTCGTTCATAATCATATTTAGCACGATTTTTGGGTTCAGAAAACATTTAGTCTATAAAAAATTTTCAGAGAATAGATGTCAAAAAGTCCTCTCGAAAGTCCCCCAAAAATGTCGTTTCATGAAGCGCTTGGTCGCAGCTGGTCGGTTAAACGGGTTTTGTTTACTTAAGTGAAAATTTTTACCGTTTAACGCTTTCACAATACCCAAAATTGTCACTAATTAGTCCGAAGGACTAATTGGTGTGCAAAAAAAGACTTTTCCCGTAATCTGTGATGGTTCGGTGAGGAATTTGTGCCACTGGGAGACACCGTTGGTATTTATCGCCAGTAACGGCAAAATCTACGCTTATGTCTATCAAAATGAAATTTTGTGGAGTGTTTTACTTCCCTGGGAACAGCAACATGTTTGTGAAAATCATTTTATTTTACAACTTGACTGGGCTCCAGCACATGGAGCTAGAACAACAAGTAACCTCTGTGAAAAGTTGTTTCATGGATTTTAGGGAAAGGATATTTGGCCCAGTAACTCACCGGTTCTCAATCCAATGGATTTTCGGCCTGGTCTATGTTGGAGCAGAGACTCTCCTGAACACGATACACATCAACAGAGGCACTTAGGACGGTATTAAAATATTCCTGGGCATCAATAACAGAAGAGGGTTGCGCGACCATAGAAGGTATTTTTCGGAAGCGTTTGGATGCGTGTATCTCAGCGACCGGATCTCATTTTGAAAATTTGTTATGACCATTTATTTACAAGATTCTTATAAACGTTTTGTATGTGTAAACTTATTTTTATTTTGACATAAGAGAAAATAAAGCCGTTTTAATTAATTCCGGGAACTTTTTACGCACCCTGTATTTAGAATGTTAATTTATGATTATTCTCCTTTTAAAGAATAATTTAAATAAAAGCAATGGGAAAGCGCCAAAATAGTAAAATATAAATACTTTTAAATAAAATGCAAATTTATTGCTATTTATAAATTGTAAAACAAAAAAAAGAGGAAATGAACAGATGGCCTGTTTTTAAATACACACAAGGGAGAACAAAATAAGCGGCTTTATTGAATAAAAAAAAGTAAAAAAAAAGTCAAAAGAGGAGAGGATAAGGATTAAATAAATATATATTACAATTAGCTAAAGACTAAAAATTAGCAAAATTTATATTTATGGCATTTTAGAACAACTAATAAATGTGCGAGACTATATTTAGAGAGCTTGTAATTTTGTTAAATATTTCATAAAATTAATTATTAAAAATTAATTTTAAGAATTTGTAGTAAATTAAAAATCAAGTTTGAAAAATTTTGGCGTTAAAATTATATTTTTGGCGCACACCAGCAATTAAAAAACATTTTTATAAAGTTGGGAAATATTCCAAGTTTATAAGCTTAAGTTTACAAACTCAATAATTAATTCAAGTTTAATTAATTTAAGTTTATTTAATGTTGAAGTTCAGTCAAGTTTATTTAAGTTCACAAACTTAAGTTTATAAACTTGAAATATTTAAAGTTTATTTAATTAATTCAAGTTTATTTAAGTTTGAAACAGAATATAGAAATAAAAAATGTGTTTACTAGAAACTTTGAAAAATTATAAAAAATTATCAGTTTAAATTTTTATCAAAAATGATATTTTTGATAAATTAATTATTTTTTAATAAAATAAAATGATTGATTAACTTGGCCAAAAATTGGTCTTGAATCGCCGTCTTTATTTATTTTAAAAATAAATAAAAACAATTTTTGGTGTAAAAAGAGTTGTAAAAACCCCCCCAAAACATCCATTTGCTTAAACGAATGCTTTCAAAAATAGAAGCCAACAAAAAATATTTAAGAGACGAAAAATGGCAACAAAATATGTATTATGACGTCTTGGGGGAATAAAAAATATAAAATGTTATGAAAAAAGAAAATGATTGATAGGGAAAATTGAAAGAAGTTTTTAAGTTTACAAACTTTGATAAATACATATAAAAATAAACTTTAATTGCAAAACTTAAAGTTTGTGAAAAGGTTGGAGAATTGTAAAACTTGACTTAATAAAACTAAGTTGTTTACCTATATTGTTTTAAGTTAAAATAAAACAAATCTAATTAAAAAACATGTTTCAAATAGAAAAAAATAAAAAGTGGATAAATGTAATTGTATTAGAAAAATACAAAAAATAAAAACAAAAATTAAAGAAAATTGTTTTCTTGTAAATAAAAAAAAATAAAAATAAATAAAAAAGAGTAATTTAAAAAAATAAATAATGTAAAAATTAATTTGAAAAGCTAAATATAATTAAAATAAAATTAATTAATGTAGCTTGTGTGTATATTTCAAAAATAAACTAAAAATATATCAGGCCTATAAAAATATTAAAAATATTTTTATAGAAAAAAATAAATGTATTTAATAAAAATATAAAAGTGAGGAAAAAAATTAAATGTTCGAAAAAGGCCAATTCTAATGCTTTTTGTCACGTGAAATTTTAATGAAATAAATCAATGGAGAATTTGCATTTTTACAAGCTAACAAGGGTTAGTATTATAATTTGTAATTTTAATTTAAAATTACAAAAGAGAACAGCAAGTTTTAAAATAAGTTTAAATAAATTGTAAACTAGAAATATTGTCTTTACAATTTGTAAAAAGGTTGCAACTTGAATATGTTTCTCCAAGTTGTAAAAAAGTTTTTAAGTTTTTAAGATTGTTTGAATTTAAGGGAAAAACATGTTTAGTAAAGAAAACAAAAACAAGTTTGTTAAAAGAATTTTTTCAAGTTCAAACTTGAATTTTTAAGTTTACAAACTTGGTAGGTGTGAAAATAAACTTTAATTTCAAGTTTATAAATTAAAGCTTAGTAGATATTTAAGTACGAACTTGAGTTTAAATTCTTTCAAGTTTAAACTTAAATGTTTACTCACTTAAAAACGAACATATTTTACTTTAAATAAATTTTTAAACATTCTCTTTTGTTTGCTCAAGTAAAAAAATTTTTTTTGTTTTAAAACTTTTTCTTTTACTTAATTTCAATAAAAAACCCCCCGCATTACAAATATTTAAAGACAAAAATAAACAAAAGGAAAGTAAAAAAATAAAATTAGAGCAAATACCCACCGGAGAGCGGCGACATGAAAGAGCAAAGTGGTTTCAGAGGAGAATAGCTCACGGCAATGAAGAGAATGGGGAGAGGCTGTTGATTGACTATATTGTCCTTCTGTTAAATGGAAAAAATATAATAAATTGGATAACTAATAAATTAAATGAAAATAAACAAAGAACAAAAAGTTTTGCTTCATTAAATGATTCAAGTTTGCAAAAAAACTTCTCGAGTGTTTAAAATAAACAATGAAACAAACATTGCAACTTGAAACATTGCTACTTGAAACTTCAATTATAATCAAGTTTGCAAACTTAAAACTTAAATCAAGTTTAATTGTTTAAAAACACACTTAGGTTCTACAAACTTGTTTTAATAATATTCAAGTTTGTAAAAACAAGTTTACTCTTAATTTTATTCAAGTTTGCAAACTTTGTCATAAATAAACTTGAAAATAAACTTGGTTAATCCAAGTTTTCAAGTTTACAAACTTGAAAGTATTCATTATTTTTACCTTCAATTCGCGCCTGTGTAACTAGTGAATAAGACAATTCAGGTACGTCGTTTGGTCTATAATAGCGTAACAATTTGACTAGAAGCTGATCTCGTTTTTTCTAAAAATAAATTTTTATATTAAATAATGTTTTTAGCAAATAAAAATATTAAAAAAGAGGCAAATTTGAGAGTACAAAGGCCAAAAATAAAAAGAAAAAAATAAAATGAACATCTCTCTAGTGAATTAAAAAGGAAATAAAAATAATAGAAAAAATGTCAGTTGAAGGGCAAATTTACTTTAAAAGAAGGAAAAAACACTCCCATAAAAATAAACAAAATTGAAAAGATGAAAAAAGGAAGTTTGTCCTTCTTCCGGCTAAAAACTACAAAAAAACTCTATTAAATATATCAAATTAGATATATAATTGGGCGAACAATATTCTTAATTAAGTCTCGAATAACACTAGTCTCTCATTAAGTTTTACAATTTTGGAATATATTAAATTCACAAACTTAAGTTTTGTATATTTAAGTTTTCATAATTGTAATTTAGTTGCTCAAGTTTTGTAAATTTGTTTGGATAACTTTAAGTTTGTAAAAAACTTTTTTGGTTGTTAAAGTTTTGTAAAACATGTTTGGATGTTTTTACATGTTTGGATCGCTTAAGTTTTGCAAAACTTGTTTGGGTTGTTTCAAGTTTTTATAAAACATGTTTTAATTGTTTTAAGTTAGTAAAACATGCCTCAGATTTAAAATAAAAACACAACACAAAACAAATGTTTTGAAACTCACCATTTTAAAAGAAACAATCGACCCAACAAGAAAAGGGTCTTCTCTACAACTTTCAACAAAAACATGATCTCCATGCCTGTAAACAATTCCCTCATGTGATTGAAAACATTCATATTCATTAGCAGCACCTCCACTAACATTTTCACGTTTTTTATAAATTAACTGAAAAAGATTTTTTGCTTCAATTTCCAAAATTTTTTTATTTACCCCCCGTTTTTGTCGCTTCCCAGCACCCGATTGCTCGTCAGAAGGGACATATCCCCTCGCTGTAGTCGGCCCGTTTGTACAATAATAAAAAGGTTCGGCATCCCAAAGACCTATTAAAACAAAGAGAAATATTTAAATAAAAAATATTTTTTCGTTAATTACCATCATTGTATTCATCCGGGCGTAAATGATTTTTTTGCTTTTGTTGTGGATTCTTAAAGGAGAAAGAATGGATTTAATTTTGTTTCAAGTTTTAATTAAATTTAGTGTTTCCGGAAAAATAATTTCTATTAGGTAAAAATTGTTTCAAGTTTTTATTAAAATTGATTAAAATTGTAATTGCTTCAAACATAATTTTAGAAATGTTTCAAGTTTTAGTTTTTTCTCATAAATTGTTTCAAGTTTTAATAAGTTTTTAAAAAGTGAGTTAAGTTTGTTCTTAAAAAGTTCAAGTCTAAACTTAATTATTTTATTTTTAACCAAGTTTTCCGGAAAATGTTTAATTAATTAGGTATGTTTCCGGAAAATGTTTTAAAAAATTATTTTCGGTAGTTGTATAATTAATTGTATAAGAATGTTTTTTTAATTGAAAACATTTTCCGGAAAACATATTGTTTTGATGTTTTCCGTAAAAATTATTCTTCCGGAAAATGTCTTCCCAATAATTTTTCCGGAAAACATCAAAACAACATGTTTTCCGGAAAATGTTTCCAATTTACAAAAACATCAAAACACCTCATTTTGTTTCAATTCTGATTCCTCGCTTTCTTCCCCTTTCTCCTCTTCTTTTTCTGTTTCTTCTGTTTTTGTTGTTAATATTGTTGCATTTTCTGATATATTTTCCTCTTCATTATTTTCATTTGTTTTAGGGCTGTTAGTGTTTCCATCATTTGTTTTTTGTTGTTGTTGTTCGGGTGTTGATGTAACTGGCGATTTTCCGCCGCTAGTCATATTTTAAATAAGGGGGAGAGAGAAGAAAAGGCGACGAAAATAAAAAAAGAAGCCTTTAATTTCTCGAATAAATTAATTTAAAATAAAAATAATTTTCTCTGAAATTTTAAATAAAAAAATATAAAATTAAAAAAATCAAATTTTCTGAAGAAAAAAATTTTTTTTTCTTAACTCGCGACGAAACAAATAAATGAATGTACATATATATGTGTATGTGTGTAGGTTTTTAGACATTTAATCAATTAATAAAAAATTTTTTAATGTAAAATTTTATCACGAGTGTAAAATAAATTTTTTAAAATTTTCCGTTAAATAAATTTTTAATTTTGATAAAGTAGAAGGAAGATATTTCTATTTTTATTCTTGCGCTCCAGCAAACTATTACTTGAACGCAAACAAGATTTAGCACAAGCAAAGGTATTTTTTGGATATCCCGCTCCCCCCTTATTAGTTTGAGTTTCGGTCACATAATCACAACAAAAAAATAACGAAAACTTATTTAAAAAAAACAAAAACACAAAAAATAATATTCACAACCATATCAAAAACCAAAAAATAATAAGAGCAGAAGAAAAAACGGGAGAGGGGGCCATCATTTATTTTTTAACAACTAAATATTCTTTCCTTCCCAAAAACTTTGAATGAACAATTTTTTATTTATATTGTGTCTGTTAGAGTTAGGGCTAAGAGAGATGCACTATTTCCCTTTCCTATCTGTTAAGGGGGTTGTTTTACTACTGCTCGTAGTTTTTTTCGTCCTTTTGTGAGAAATGAGCAAGAAATGAGTTTTTTAAAGAGGAAATAAATATATTAAATATAAAATTAAAAAAAAGATACTTCAGGGTCTAAAAAAATCAGAAAACAAAGAAATGGTATCAGTGCTAGTTATGGCTCCGAAATTTGGCTAGGAGTCGGCTTGTCCGGAACTGAAGCCGAAAGTTGAAAAGGGGCGGAATTGGAGCCATAAAACGTTAAATAACTCATATTGAATGGCGGGATTATGCTACTAACTCTTATCCGATCCGAAAACTCTTATCCGATCCGAAAAAGGGCAGGATATCCGGAATTCGGATTTCCGATATTTCCAACTATCCACCAACCTTACGCTACATACTTACGAGTAACTGTTTCTAACTTGTAGTTAACCTTCCCTGCTCCTTAGTTGCTAGAACTTTAAAGTAATTGACAAGGTGTTAATTAAAATAGGTGAAAGAATTGATCCTTGAATCAAGAGTTACATATACTAGTAAGCGTTTATAAAGAATCCCAAGAATTTCTACAGGTATAGGGCAGAAAACACCAAAAATTAAACAAAAGATTACCCCAATTTTATGAATAAAAATTTTTAGACTGTTTTTTCCCAATTAAAAAGAGCAATTAAAAATATTTTTTTGTATGTAAATAATACATAAAATGTAATACAATTTTAATACTCATTTTCTTCTTTGCGATTTAATTCTTTCTTTTGCCGCATGGGTGGATGGGAAAAGGCTAGAGCTAGCGGTTGTTAGAAAAAAAATAAATATAAATTTTTATTTTATTTATAGCGAAAGGCAAAAATACACACTTAAAAATGTAGAGAAAGAGTACATTTATATATATTTTCAGGGCAACCAGCTTGGAGGCTCTGCTATTCACCAAGCCCCATGTTTTACCAATAAGACTAAAAATACACATTTTGACAATAAGGCTTCGTTGACAAAACGAGGGCCTTTAGCCTTTTAGGTAAAATATGGAATTGGCAAAATATGGGAGACCAGCTTGGGGATTAGGCCTAAGGGGGAAGGGGGGGGGAGAGGAAAGGAATAAAGGGGGGGGAGGGAGGGTAATATATAAATGAGGAAGGAATAAAAGGCTGAGGGAAAAAAAATTGGAAGAAAGCGGAAAAGTCGTCAAAAATTGAATTTTACCCTCCCCAACTAAATGAGAGTGTTTCTTCTCTCTTTTGTTGGCAAAATAAATAGATAAACTAATTAGGTAAAAATAAGATTAAATTAAAAGTATACAAACTTAAGTTTACTTAAAATATTGAAACATATTCTTTAGGATGGAACAAACAATGTTTGGTGTTTTTAAACAATGTTTTGGAACAATTAAAAATGTTTTCCGGAAAATGTTTTTAAGGGGAATTAAACATTTCCGGAATTTGTTGGACGTTTTTCCGGAAAAAGTAAATAAAATGTTTTCCGGAAAATGTTTACTTGAAATTTCCGGAATAATGTTGTGAACTTAAGTTTCCGGAAAGCGATTACTATATTTTAATATTTCCGGAATTTTCCTGAAAGGTTTAACATTTTCCGGAAAATGTTTGTTTAAGATTTTACGGAATTAATTAATATTTGTTTTCCGGAATATGTTTAATTTAGAACAACTAAAGTTTCCCGCAAATTTAATTTTACAAGTCAGGAAAGACTAAAAACTAAAACTGAAACCAGAACCCTTTAAAATCATTAAAAATAAATAATAAACAGAAAATAAAAATGAACAAAAAATTATTTTTAAAAGAAAATTAAATAAATAAAAAAATAAAAATTATATTAAAAATCTAAAAAGCACGCAATACTGCAAAAAAATAAAATTGTCTTTAATAAAATGCGGGAAAAAAAGCTAAAAAGGCATAATCGTCGTCACCATTTTTGAGGTAAAAAATAAATAATAAAATTTCGAGGTTTTTGACTGAAAAAAAACAATTTTTTAACTCGCTAATATTTATTTTTTCTTCATGTTTTTTGTTTGTATTTTGTGCGTTTATATTTTTCTTCTTTATTTTTTGGCATGTTTGCATAGGAAATGAGAAACGGAAATTTAAAAGAAAAGTAAAGGACAACAGAGCAAATGAAAGAAGGTGTGCATAAAAGGACCACACCAAGAAAAATAAAAGAGAAACTTAATCCCCTCTTTCCAAGTCACTGCAGTGCAAGATTGTTTGGACTTTTTAAATTTGCGGATAAATAAGTAATGAAAAAATGTCCGCAAAAATTTTGCGGACAAAACTTGCGGACAAATTTTTTTTAATTTTTTCGGGGAAATAATTTTTCGGAAAATAATTTTTTTAATTTTTTTTCCACAGATTTTAAAATATTATTTAAACAGAATTAAAAAATATGTATCTGCAAAATTTTGCGGAAATTTTTATTTTTACGAACAAAAATTTATTTTAACGATTTTATTTAATGAAGTATTTAATAGCGTTTGTGGATTATAAAATATTAAAAAATTTTGGTAATCTTCTAGTTTACTGGTCCCGAGAAAAAAATTGGGAAGCAATGCTGTTTCGATATTTTTAAGGGTTACCAGTAGGTAATCGAGTGTGCTGAGTCCAAATCTGAGCTTAGAATTTGCTTATTTCGAACCCCGGACCCGGATTCGACCAAGTCGAATTAGGGGTAAAAATTCGAAATTAAAAATTTAGGGTTATTCTAACACGACTATTCGAGTAGAGTAGAATGTTATCAAAATTATGATGGTTTTTGAACACCTTAAAAGGTGTTCAAATAAAACACAAGCTTATTAATAAAAAATTTTTTTAGAAAAATTAAAGAAAGTTTCAATATTTTTTAAATAAAAATTATAATCAAAGGAGACTATAAATTAGTTGAAAAAAACCCTCCCATTTCTGTTTGTTTTTATTAAAAAAAATAAATTTTTCTTTTATCTAAAAAAGATTTTTTGATTAATTTATAGGAGATTAAGAGGGAGAGGGAAATAGTAAATGATGATGACCTTCACAAATGTGTGAAATAAATAGGGAAGAGAAGAGGGAAATAAATTGTAATTTTTGAATGTTTTTTTGAATATTGATTTACAATTAATTAAAAAAAATAAATTTTGGAAGGGAAAAAAATTTTTTTGAATGGAAAAAATTTAAAAAAAATTAGTCTATTTAAAATTTTGTTTCATACATTTATTGCTTGTTAGCAAAAATATCCACGTATTCAATATTTAAAAATAAAAGTGCATTAATAAAAATTATTTAAAAGAGAAAAGGGGGATTAAATGAAAAATAATAATTTACTATTTACTTTTTAATGTTTACTTTAGAAAAACAAGTAAAAAAAAGATTTATTTAAATGAAAAGGAAATAAACAAAAATGTTGTGTTCGGAAAGTTAAGATAAACAATGTTTTGGAAAATGTTTAAATGTTTTATTAGAAAAGTTTTGGTGTTGTAAAACAAACTGAATGTTTTGAATGTATGTTTTCAAGAAATGTTTTGAATATGTTTTCCGGAAAAGTTCAAAAGAAAATTAAGAAAAGAGGAAAGTTTTCCGGAAAACTTAATTATAAAATGTTTTCCGGAAAATATTCATGAAGTTTGATAGAAAAATATTCTCCGTAAATTTAATAAACAATGTTTTCCGGAAAATATAATATTAGTGCTCTCTATACGTGTCTTATTCTTGTAAATGTTGTATTAAACATTTGTTTCCGGAAAGAGTTTAGAAGAATATTTAATATGCTTATTTTGTTGAGAACATTTGTAAAACTTAATTTTATGCTTTCAAAACATAAAAAAAAGTCTTTCCGGAAAATGTTTGTTTAGTAAAATGATTTAATATTTTTATTCCGGAATGTTTATTAGTAATGTTTTGTTAGCATTTCGGGAGTTTTCCGAAAACACCCGAAAAAATATTTTAATTGTTAATTTATTCCTTGAACATTTGTAAAGTTTTATTGAAAAAATACAAACTTAAAAACTTTAATAAATCAAATTGCGTGCATTTTATGTTAAAGGTATGAAAATTAAAATATAAAAAATAATTTATTAATTTAAGACAAACATTTTTATTTTAATTTATTAAAACATTTTATAATATAAATTTCCTTTTAGTGTGTCTATTCTGAGAATTTTGGATTTTTAAGAGAAGAAAAGAGATTGGACTCACTAGTGGGAAACAAAATAGTGAAGTGAATAGTGGGGATGGGGTGGAGGAATGAATAAATAGTCTCTCTCTCCTCTCTCTCCCCATATTAAAAAAAAATAAAAAAATGACTTGGCGCGCGACCCAAGTGTGTGGTGAATTGGACGGGAGAATGAATATATAAAAGATGTGATGAAGAAATAAACTATTGTATTTGGGGATTTTTGTTAGATAGAAGGCAATTTGAAGGAGAGAACGTTGATTGAGTTGTACTTTTTGTTTGTTAAAAACATTTTTCTTTTAAGTTTTTTAATAAGCCTGTTTAAGGTAAAAGAAATACCTATACAATATATGTTTTGAGGTAGAAAAAATACAAAAGATAGGTGTTTTCCGGAAAGAGTTGAATAAATTAATCCGGAAAAGTTGTAAGTTTTCAGGAAAACTTAAATTGAAAATGTTTTACGGAAAAGTTTTTCCGGAAGAAGTTTTAAAGTTTTCCGGAAAATGTAACAATGTTTTATTTATGTTTCTCTGATAGATGTTTATGTTGTGTTAAATGTTTGTTAAGTGTTTGTTTAAGTTTTTGTTTGGGAACGTTATTATGTTTGTTTGTTAATTTTTGTTTGATTATAAAAAATGTTGTGTTAATGTCTGTCTTTTATGTTTGTCTGTTAAATATTTTATTTGTTAGTTTAAAAAATGCTTTTATTAAATGTTTTTGTTACGTATAAGAATTAAATAAATTAAAAGAATTTAAAAGAAACACGAATATATTTAAATATCTCTATGACAAAATGTTTTCAGCGGGGATATACAAAAACGCCCATCATCTTCTCAATTACTTCCGATTCGCTGACTACTACGACTACTCTTTCTTCCATGCGAATTTAATCCGTTTTATCTCCCAAGGCCTTATATACCACTTACTAATCCACCCAACTCAACTGTGCTCAATTTCGCTTCCGCATATGCGCACTACGTTGGATTTGTGTGCGGCGGACCTTTCTTTTTATGGGTTGTGCACTTTAAATAATTAGTGTGAATTAAAAATTGATTTATGTCAGACGAAAAATCTTAATTGAGAGAAAGAAAATAATTAGATTTGTTTTTTAAGAGAGCGAAAATTTAAGTTCAATCTTAAAAATGTTCGAACTGTTCGAACATTAACTAATTAATAAAGTTTACGGATGTTTGTATATTTTTCCAGAACATGTTTTTGTTTTGGAAAATGTTTTTGTTTGAATGTTAGTCTAATGTTCAAATGTTTTTGTTTATCAGGAAAATAAGTTGTTTTGTGTCTAATCAAACAAAATATGTTCCGGAAAAACACAAACATTATAATTTCCGGATAAAGAAACGATGAACATAAAAACATTATTCAACAAAACATGTTCCGGAAAATGTGTTTACATTGAATAATATTTTTTATCCGGAAATATGTTGTCTGGTATTTTTCCGGAACATGTTTTTGCCTAAACAAATATTTCTTTACTTGTTCCGGAAAATGTTTGTTTTAAAAACTTTGTTTTAATTTTATATGCAGCGAAATGTTTGTTTCCTTAAATTATGTAAATTATACAAAAATAACATAAATATTAAATATTAAATACTATTTAAATTCTAAAACACTTTAAAATATTATTTGCTCATAAAAATAGAAAAACAAAAAATAATACACAAGTGTAAATAGTCGCGTCTTTTAAATGAAATTTTTTAAAACAAAAATATTTTAAGCATTTGACAATCATTTTAAAAGAAAACAGGATTGAAAGGTAATCAAAAGTTCATTTTAGATTAAAGATTATTAAAAATATAAAATATTTTTGATTAAAATTTGATTTTTAATAAATAATTTAATTAAACATTTAATCCCGGAAAATGTTTCTCCGCAAAAAATATCAATTAAATTCCGGAAAATGTTTTGATTGAATGTTTCTTCAATAATGTTTCTGTTTATCCGGAATGTTTTATATTTTTCCGGAAAATTTTCTTTAAAAACCTCAATTAAAATTCCGGAAAATGTTTTAGTTAGGTTTTATTTCCGTTCCGGAAAATATTTTCCGGAATTAAATGTTTAATTTATTCTTAGATGTTTCAGTGTTTTTATTGTTGTTTTAATGTTTTTTGGGTTGTTTTTAGTGTCCCAAATCAATTGGCTAATTTAATTTAAAATTAAGATACAAGCTAAAAGCTACTCAAATTAGAATTTTTATTTATTTTTAGCATTATTTAACTATTAAAATAAAAATTGTCTAAAATATTAATTTTCTCTATTTATTTTCTAATGCAGGTAAGGCAGGGGGGACCAATAGTTTCTCTCCCCAAAAAACCTCAATTTGGCCGGAATGATTTGTGTCATTCTTTTAACGTTCGTATCAGTCGAGAAAAGAAAAGAATATATTTCAATGAAATGTAGAGTGAGAAATAAAGAAAAGAAAAAAATAATTTTAACAAAAAAAAGTGAAGCAACAACTGTGATGGGTCTTTATATTTTTTGAGAGAAGTTAAAGATTAAATAAAGAAAATAAATAAATAAATTTTTTTAGTCATTATTATGTTTTTGCAATAAATTCCATAGTTCAAGATTAAATCTTAAAAAATACTACTAAAAATAAACAAAATTAATGAGAATTACAATTGTTTTTAGTTTTAGTAGATGTTTAGAAAAGAATGTTTAAGAGGGTGTTTTGAGGAATTAATTTAATGTTTGTGTTTTTATTTGTTTTTGTGTTTATTAACCGAGAAAAACATTTTCCGGAAGTTGAATGTTTTGTTGGGTAATATTTGATCCGGAAAATGTTTTAATGTTTTCAGGAAAATGTTTTTCCAATAAAATGTTTTTCTGTTACCAAACAAAACATTAAAAACTTTGTGTTTTTCCAAAAATGTTTTGTTCAGCAAATGTTTTAATATTTTTATACCGGAAAATTTATTCGTGCTGTTTTGTTAGCATTCCGGAAAATATGTTGAGTTTTCCGGAAGATGTTTTGTTCGTAAACTTATTCCCTAAAAATATTCGAATTCTGGAATTAAATAATAAAATGTTTTTGTTGTTTAAAAATAGAGGTTTATTTGCAGAAATGCATAGACAACATTTACAGATTTAAACATAAAATAGTATTAAAAATTTAATAAATACATATATGAATAATTAATAAAATATTCTTTGAACATTTAGAATTAGTAAAAAATTAATTTGTAGCATTAAAAGAAAGGGATAATTAAATAATTTAATGATATGTTAAAGAAAATAATTTTTTAGAAAAAAAATAATTTTGTGATTTTTTATTTAAAATTATAATTAAAATTAAATATTAAAATAAAATATAATTTTTTTCAAGGCAAAAATGAAAAGATAAAATAAAATTTTTTATATTTTGTCATTTAAACACGTGTTATTTCCGACATTTTCCCCCAAAAGTAATAGTAAAAAAGTATTGAAAGAATAAAAATAAAACCAAGAAATAAAAATGTGTACAAGTGTGAAAATGAAGAAAAAATAAATTTTAAGGGAAAGCACCGGAAATTGTAGTCGCTTTAAATAAATTTATTTAATATTAATTTATTTAATATTGTAAATTGTTTCTCTTGAATGTTTTGCTAAATTTATTGTTAAATTAAAACAAGTTCATGTTTTTACTTAAAGGATGAAATGTTGTAGCCCGAACATGTTTTGTTTTGTTGTTTTCTGTAAATATTGTTTTAAGCATTCCGGAAAGTGTTCAAGTCGATAGAATGTTTATGTTTTGTTTTGCAAGTTTTGTTGTTTTCAAATCCCGAAAAATGTTCGTAATGTTTTGTGAATGTTCCGGAAAATGTTTAATGTTTTGCCTTTGAATTCCGGAAGAAAGTTTTGATGTTTTAAATTCCGGAAAGTGTTTAACTCAACAGAATGTTTATAGGGAAGAATGTTTTACAGAATGTTTATATGTTTTGTTCCGGAAAAGTTGTTTCCGTCAAAACGTTTCTTTTTCTATTTAAATTATAAATACACAACAAAAACAACCCTATAAAATGCTTGTAATCTCAAACAAAAAAATACTAGAATAAATGTATATTTATAATCCGTAAATTACGCGTCCATTTTATGGTCTTACAAAATAAAAATGATTTTTATAATAAAAGAATAAAAATAAAAAATGTCCAGTGAGTGCAAATATTTAATATTTACACAGAAATGAGCGCGGAAGAATGGACGATGAAAAATGAAAAAAACCTTACCTTCCCCTTAAAAATTAAGGAAGGAAAAAAGGAGAGAAGAGAAAGGCGAGTAAGCAAAAACTAAAACACCCCAACTCGTTTTTGGGGTAAAAAGTAAAATAAATAAAAAGAACAACAATTGTTTTTATTGTCAAACAGAGAAATGTTTTGTTTTTTTTTGTTTTTTAAAATCAGAAATAATAATACAGAAAAATTCAAGTTTACAAACATATTATGTTCTGACAACGACGTAAAACAACTAATATGAACAAAACATTGAAAAACATTAGCGGAAAACATAGAACAACGGAAAAACAAACGACAAAAACATTTTAATAATAAACATTAAATAGCATAAACATATCCGGAAAAACATCCAACAATGTTTTGTTTTGTTAAAATTAAATGTTTGAATTATATGTTTTGTTTGAATTAAATGTTTTGTTAAAACAAGGAACAAAACATTTAATAATTGACATTAAACAGCATAAACATATCCGGAAAAACATACAACAATGTTTTTTCTATTCCCAACTTTTAAATGTTTTCGGATACACTTCCTAGTATATTTTGTTTTTCCGGAAAACATTTTTAATTATAATTTTGTTTTACTTCCTTAAATGTTTTAATGATTGTCTTATTATATTTTCGCGCTCTTCCTCTTTAAATTTATTTCCTAAATCCTCACAGTTAAAAAATAATTTTTTAAAGTAATTTTAAAGTAAACTAATGAGAGAGAGGAAAGAAGATTGTGAAGCAAGTGGCAAACAAAGATTAGTAGTTAAAAAAGAAATAAAGCACACACTATTTCTCTCCGGTTTTGTAGTTTATGATTAAAAGAGGAAATAAGAGGGAAAGGGGCGGGGCAAGTAGAAAGAAAAGAGGAAAAAGAGGAGAAAAAGCAAAAAAGGAGGAAACAAAACAAATTGAAGGAAAATTAAAAATGGGGACAAGTCAACTGTGAAAAGTGCATTTTCATGCAGTAAATTTATAAGGGATTTACTAAAAATCGTTTTTGAATAGGTGGGAATTTTGAGTTAATTTATTGACAGCATTATTTAGTTGGTAGTTTTCAGGCTCTAATAGTCACTTTTAGACCCTAATAAATAAGCACTCTCTAATAATATGTAGAACAGAAATGTTAGGCATGTTAGGACATGTTAGGCATAAACAGACATTCCTAAGCACCACTCTAATAATACAGGCACACCTAATATAGGTACCTCTCCAAAAGGCAGACACACCACATAGAGGTACCACTCTAGTAGACAGGCACTGTCTAACAATCTACACACTATAGAATACCACTAGGAAATATTCAAAAGATATTTTTTGTCGTAAACATTGTTCCGATTTTCTAAAATATTTCGTCTTTTTTATTTTCGTCGTTTTGTTTCATCCCCAGTTATTGTCTTTTTTTGCTATATTGAATAGTTATAGACCCTTCCCCCTATTCTAACCGGTCGTTATCGGAGTCTCCTCGGTCATCGGCTGGCTGATCAATTATTGTTTGAAGGAATTATTGGGTGATATGTAATGGGTGTTATGTGTTTATATTGGCTATTAGAGTCTGAGAAAGAAGAAAAGAAAATACATATAAAGTTATCTCATTATAAAAACACCTATAAAGAGGAAAACAAATTATAACGGAAAATGGGAGGTTGAAAATTACATAACCTTACTTAATTGTAGAACTTGGAATTGTAATACATTAATTGTAAAAAAAGTTTCGTTTCATATCTAGCTATTTTGTATTTTTTGTTTATAAACCTTTCCAACTTTTTTACAATTAAGTTTTACAATTTGTAATTTACAAAACTTGATAAGTTTAAAACTA